GACGGAGGCTCGAGTTTTCTTGCCGGTAACTCAGCTGCGGGTGGCCCCTTTGCTGCCAACCGGCAGGAAGTGAAAATCTGGTGTGTGTGTGTGTGTGTGTGTGTGTGTGGCGGGGGGAGGGTCCCTGGCCTCGGAGGCCGCCGGATGCGTCCCTTGACGAGTGAGGAGCTCGTGGCTGGCCCGGCAGATAGGACCTAATTTTTTATTCTTGGTCCAGAGCGGAGCAGCCCCTTCTAACTTGCCCTCAGAGTGACTAGGAACTGAGTTCTTGTGGATCTCACATTTTCAAGCCCCTATCTTCACCCCCATCCACCCCGTAGGAAAAATGTTTCCCTGGAGCCATTTTCAAATTAAAGAGGTTCTTTAAAATGCGAGTACATTTTGCATTTTTAAAAGAACTATCTATGTTGTCTTGTATTTGAACAGTACTTTTGTCTTCCTGAATATTAAGGTGTATCATCTAGGATCATTCCCTGTACCCTGGTCTGGGGTCTATTAACCTTACAAGTCTCTAAGACCCCCCAGTTTTGTACTCTGGTTAGAAAATGGATTTTGTAGATTGAAATAAATTGCCCTTTTTGAACTTTCCAGGCAATGTGATTTACTCAGTGTTTACCACTTTTGAATTTTAAATATGATCAGACATTTATCTGGTTTGTCTCCTCCCTATCCCCTCCTCTACTCCCTCTTTCTGTTTTACAAATATGTTTATACTTTTTTCATTCACAGGATTAAAAGATGACCTCGGAGCTGGAACAGTTATATTCTCATGTTAATGAAAAGATTGGCAATATTAAAAAAACTCTATCATTAAGAAATCTTGGTAAGTAAAACAGATTCACTGATTTTAGGTATAATATACATTTTTATTATTCCATTTTGAATAATGTATCTGGTTAAGTGAATGTATCTTATAAAGATAATTTTAGATTTCTAGTCTTTAAAACATTTCAGTATCAGTCTTGACTATTGCAGAGGATACACTGAATGATGAACTAAATACACACTAGATTTATTTATTTATGTTCTTCTGAGGCATACAGCCCAGTAGTACGTTTTGAAGGTGTGTGGCATCCATAGTTCTGGAACCTAATGGATACATGAAAAGGCAGGGGGAAGACAAATCTTGAAATGGAAAAGATCCACAAAGGAGGAAGTAGTTCGTAAGTCATGGCACAGCCTGCTTTGGAGTAAGCTTATCTCTATATATCATTGGAGAGCAGCTAATTGAAAATAAAGTTAATTTTAAGGAATCCATAAACTAGGGGTCATGCCTGTCTTTGAAAATATCCTGACATCCTGAAAAATTCAAAGAAACAGGTGATCCTTGCCAAGACTACTACCATCCAATGGAAAAGCAGGCTTGTAAAAACCCTAGGATGGTGTGTTCTTATTTACCAGCTGAGGCACTGTGTGACTTTTGGCTCTTCCCTGGAGTTAAAATGACCATGAAAGGTAAATGGTTTTTTTTTTTTTTTTTTTTTCCTTTTCAAAGTTTTATTGATAAACATATAGCAATGAGACAGTTTCAAATCAAATCGAAAGTACAGTTTCAACAAATAATACACTGCATATATTCTTCTTAGTGGTTAATAGCTATACAAGATGCAGACTTGTGATCCTACTTACAAACACCATTAGAAAAAATTCTATTCATTAAGAGAATGCAACTATATATCTTTCCCAACCACTTTGAATACACAGATACAAAATGGACATTCATAGTTATACCCGAAAGGTAAATGTTTTGAGTCAGTTCAGAACTTTGAGGCAGCCATTACATCACAACTGAAGACGCTAATGAGGCCTTCAAAAAGTTAGAAGGATAATGTCATATGCGTATTTGAAGTGAGAGGATGTATTCTGAGGGGTATTAATGGTACTGTGGTTTTTTTAGCATAAGAAATTTACACATTCACTTTATTTTTGGCTCACACTTCACATGCAGCAGTACCTCAGTTCAAGAATTTAATTTGTTCCACAATTTTGGGAAAGATGGCCATGTCTGTGTGCTGGAAAGATGGTCACTGTCCTGTATGTCACCCAATGTAGAATTCACAAAGACAAAATTTTGCCAAATGCTTTTGCCATGCTGTTATGTTGAGCTGTAGGGGACTCAGGTCAACAATATCTGACATTGCCAGTCAAGTGAAAGACCCAATACTATTATGGACTACTGGACTCTTTTGGAATATATTTTGCTGAGTTAACACACCTATAATATTCAAATGACGGAACTAAACAAATAAGGGGATACAGATGAATGTCCATTTTGTATCTGTGTATTCAAAATGGTTAGGATAGATATATAGTTATATTCTCTTAATGAATACAGGGATTTGTTCTAGTAGTGTTTATAAGTAGGATATAATGTCCACATCTTGTACAGCAAATAACCACTAGGAAGAGAATATGCAATGTGTTAATTATTGAAACTGTCCTACCAATTTGATTTGAAACTGTCTCATTGCTATTTGTTCTCAATAAAATTATGGAAAAAAAAAAAAGTAAAGCCATATCAATATGCTGAGCTGTAAAAGGCTCAAGTCAACAACTTCTGACATCGCCAGTCTTACCACTACTGTTATGGACTACTGGACTGTTTTGGAATATTTTGCTGAATTCACACACCTATAATATTTAAATGACAAAACTAAACAAAAAAAATGGGATAAAAATGAACGTCCATTTTGTATCTATATATTCAAAATAGTAAGGGTAGATATACAGCTATATTCTTGTAATTCAGTGAATAGAAAGATTTGTTCTAATAGTGTTTGTGAACAGGATATCGTGTCTGCATCTTGTACAATGAATTACCACTAAGACAACAGTATGCAATGTATTAATTATTGAAACTGTCCTACTAATCAGATTTGAAACTGTCTCATTGCTATTTGTTTCTCAATAAAATTATGGAAAAAAAACCCCCAAAACCAAATGCTTTTGTTTGTGAACCAAATTGTTCACGAACAGACGTGTGCATGAACAAGGTGCCACTATAATTTGGAGATCTGTAATACTAGATTCAGATGATCCTCCAAAATAGAGGCCTGGTTGAAACTGCAGACCTATTAGATTACTACACTGGACAATTGTTATTTTGTAGTTGGGGAAGGCAGTTTGTTTCCATAGCCTACTTAATAAAGCCTGGTAATTTGCACTTTTACTGCTGTAACTTTGTAGATGAATCCTATCAAAAGGAGTGATTTTGTTCAATTGATTGTATTACTGTACATTAGTAATGAAAATCCTAAAATTGAGGTGACTAAATAATTATCTTTTCTCTTCTTACTTGGTTATGAAAATTTTTTATTGTTTCATAAAATAAAAACAAAAATTGTTTGAGATACCAGTAGATAGGGAAGAGAGAACTATATCCAACTAGTTATTTTACCCTCTGAAATTACTCGCTGTAGGAACATCAGAATTCTTGTTTTAGTGGTTATAAGCTGAATGTCAAAGACAATTCACATTGCTCCATTAGATAAAATAATCCATGCTTCATTAGAATGATGAATAGTAGCAGGGCCAGGGGTATAGCTCAGTGGCATAAGTGCTTGCCTGGCAAGCACAAGGTCCTGAGTTTGATCTCTGGAATGGCAAAAAAAAAAAAAAAAAAGAATGCCTATTGTAGCACTTACTATGTACTTTTGCTTATGTTTGTAGTAGCCTTAGGCAGGTACTATTGTCTCTGACTTTCCACTAAAATCATATTAACTCTACAGCTTCCATAATCTACCGAAATGGCTGAAGTATGCTTTTATTTGTATGTATCTTGTTTAGTTGCTGGAAATGCAGAGGGAAAGATTTAATTGTAAAGGTAATTGTTTTCTGTGTTTTTGTTCTCTTAAATTATTACTTTTTGTATTTCTACGGAGGAAGGGACTCTGATGTTTTCATCAAATTTATGAAGCTAGAGAGGGGTGTTAGGAGGTTGGTCTGGGGAGATGATATGAAAACATGTTGGTGTGTTTTTGTATTTGGTACAGGGTCTACAGGGTCTCACTATGTAGACTGGACTCAAAGTGATCCACCTGTGTTGAGCCTCCCAAGAGCTGGGATTACAGGTGTGCGCCATCATGCCCAGTCTCAATCACGGTCTCAGCGCATCCCAGGGTTGAGGCTGGCACGGCATGCCCAGGCTCGGACCCTGGCCACTGTGTCTGCCTAAGCAGGCGCTTTAATCTGCTGAGCTCTTTGTCCGGCCCAAAAAACATGCTGCTTTTTATATGTCCTGCAATTTATTTTCTAAATATCCCAAAGTTACCACTATCCTATGACTTTGTACATTATTCTCTTCTGATTAGCAGCTATGAGTAGTGTAGGTGGTGGAAATATGAATTCCAAATCTATATCTGAATTTCCACAGAGAACGCTCATTCTTGCCCTCACTCCCTCCGCACACACTCCTGAGGCCAATCCAAATCATAAGCTTATTTCCCTAGTCTGTTTAGGCTCTTTCAGAACATACTTTCAGAAGCAGGATCCTGACCCCATTTGAGCTTCTCATTTCCAATCCCCTGTGTTTGAGACTTCAAAATCTGGGATCTTGTGCTCCTTAAGGTGAAGTATATCCAGTTGCTGAGGCCGAAAGCCTTTTCTTCAGCCTCCCTCGGCCCTCTGTAGGATGGAGATACCGCAGCATCAGCTCACAATGGTATTTCATCTGAGGATCCCTTTTCACATTGGATCCCTTGGAGATTGAATTCTAATTCTCAGGAAAGCTCAGCTAGGCCTGTAGAAAGGTTTTTTTTTTTTTTTTTAATACATATATTCAGTAAATGTAGATGTTTTATTATAGTGGAAAAATTTGCCAGGGACATTTTGTAAATGCCTCTCCCCAATCCTCTTCCATGGTACTTTAAATTGAGGTTTTTAGATTATCTATGGAAATGAGGACAGGACTGGAACATGTCCTTTCTCTACCCTCTATGTCTCTAAGGCTTGGCTGGCTATTCCAAGAGTTTTCATGAATTTTCTTATGTTATTTTACATATATGGTATATACTTAGTTTCCTACTTTGTCTTTTCTTGTAACAGGCCAGGAGCCTACATTGAAAACTATATTAAATAAAATAGGAGAAGAGATCATTATAGTAAATGAACTTCTAAATAAATTTGAAATGGAAATTCAGTATCAAGAACAAACCAACAGTTCCCTCAAGGTAATGTTTTTCTAATCAAGAAACAAAAGGCAACAAATAAAACTAATCAGCAGGTAATTTGTAAGATCTTTAAGTTTATCATTATAAACTTAAAGATTACTAATGGTGCAGAGTGCCATTTGGTTTTATGTTCCCCTTATAGTGGAATCTGGGGCTTTGGAGCTATTCCTGCTGACAGCCAGAGGAATTACACTTTGTAGGGAAGAAGAAAAAAGATTTTTTGAATCATTCTTGGTAGGTTTAATGTCAACAGATGGTACCCTAGGAGTGTGATGTATAAAGAACACCAGCCTTGGATGAGATGTGGATGCTCATTTTGGCTGTTCTTCCTACCTGTGTCAGCCTGAGTAAACCAGCTGGCCCCATTCGACTTTGTTATCCTTGGACTCCGTGAGGATTTTTAGCTATAGCAATGGGCATGCTTGGCCCTCTTGGAGTCCAGGATCTTCATTTCAACTGAACTGTTTGCAAGCTCTTTTTTCTTTCTGCATTTCCATATTTTTATATAGTATAAACATTCTCCAATAAAAGCCTTAAGGCATACGTGTGCATTTTGTTCTAAGTAATACTTCTAATTAATTTCAAGTAGTACAAGTTTTGTGTACTTCCTAATGAGAAAATACTCAGTCTGCACTGTAATTAACCTCATGCTGTTGTTAGAACCACTGAAGTATTCAATAGAATTGAACAGAGTAGCCTCTGGCCCCATTCAACTTTGTTATCCTTGGACTCTGTGAGGATTTTTAGCTATAGCAATGGGCATGCTTGTGCCTGTCTTACTCTGAGTCAAAAGTAAATTAGTGTCAATGAATATCACTTAGCTCTTCAAAAGAAAGCTGTCATAAATTAAAAGCCCATATTGGTATTTTTAATTCTAACCTACCCAAGAATACCCAGCATTTGTTGCAGGCCTAACAAATATTCAGGGGAAAAGTGAATGTCAGATGACAAAAATCCAAAAGCATAGAATATTTTTCTTATTAAATTTTGCACACATTCAGTGCCTCAAGTTCTAGTGAAAGTTAAGGGGAAAAAAACCCCACACAATTATGATCAAGAAAAAAATATTAAAGTGGAATATACAAATACTAGTGTGGAAATCATTCCATGCAGCACCGCATGCTTGTCATCTGTAAGGACGTTCTCGCTCTGGTGCTATCATACAGGTAACATGGAGAATGTGTGCTATTCAATAAAAACAACTTGCCAGGATGAAAAACAATGATCAGAAGTTTGTATCTGTTTCTTGGTTGCCTGTCAAGGTTAAAATATTTGGGAGAGACTTAAACCTTTAAATCTCAACCTTGCTTTGTAATTGTAATGCAATTATAGGGATTGTTTTCTAAAAATCCAATAGAGAAAAATGTATCCCCATCCAAAAAACAGCTCTAGAAGTCAACATTCTCCCCTCTCACCCCCGGGGTTGCTCATAGTCTTCCTTGTCTTACAATATCTTAGGACACTCACAGCAAGGAAAGGGGCTTATTCATGAGTATTTTAAAAAACTTTTAGGAACTCTTTGAATCTCTTGAAGAAGATTATAAAGATGTGGAACATATGAACGAAAACATTCCTCCCCATTTGCCTCAAGTAACAGTATCACAGAACTTGTAAGTATATTCATAATTATTTTTACTGTTTGGATTTATAAACCCATGAAAACAAACACCTCAAAGCCTTTTACTCAGTCACATACCTGCAGTTTTGTTGATTACTTAGTTTTTGTCACTTGTACCAGAAACAGTGTGAACGCGTCTTGACTAATTTTCTTATCTTAGATCTGCAGGACATGCCCCCCCCCCCTTTTTGCAGAACCAGGGATTGAACTTGGGCCCTTGCCAGGCAAGTGTTTATTCTACTGAGCCATCTCCCAGGCCTCTGTCCCCTTTTTTGAGAGCAGGCTCCACAGACTTTCTTCCTGCTAGTTCTGTCCCTTAGAGCAGTTTCTAAACCTTGGTTTCATTACCTTTTGAGGTCAGTTCTTTGTTGTGACAATGAAGAAGGTCTTCAGATGGTCCAAATGTCTTTTATGAGCAAAATTCCCTTGACCCTTAAGAACGATGGCCTTAGGGTAAGAATAAGCTTGATAAACTTCTCTTCTGAAAAATAGCCAAAGGAATAATAAGCCTGCTCTTCTTCTGTCCCTCACCTCCATCCTGGTTCTCTCCGTCTCTTCATTGGCCGTGTATGTTCGTGCTTGCTTTTCTCCCAGAGGCCCTAATGTCTGGCTTTTGGCTGTCATTACCACCATGCTCGTAAAACTGATTGTTTGCAGTTTGCGGAAAAGCCAGAAATCCTTTCTTAGACCTGATTTTGTTTTCCATATCTCACATTGATTTCTTCGTTTATTTTGAGATTGTGTTGTGCACCTTGGCTATGCTTTCTCGCCCATCAGCCCACATCCTGAGATGGCTACCTCTGCTTTTCTTCCTTCTTAAATTAGAGCCACTGTATTCCTGCTTACCTGATCCCAGTGTCAATGCTCTCAAATGTTCAGCTCTAGCCTTGATGTGATAGCTATTTCTGGGGATTTTGTGGCTTCCTTGGAATTTGTTGAGGGAATTTTTTCTCTTCAAACTTTGCAAGTCTAGGGCTGAACTCGCTGCCTGTCTTCTTACCTGTCCACCCAAACTGCTGCTCTTGTTCTCTTGTTACCTGGGCAGGGATGTGGCATCTTCATCCTGTCATGCTCTGCTAGCCATTGCCATCCATTCTACCTCTGCCTTGTTTTTATTGCCTGGCTCTGAATAGGATCTTCCATAATCTTTTTTCTTTTTCTTTTTTTTTTTTTTCAGAACCAAGGATTGAACTCAGGTCCTTGCACTTGCCAGGGAAGTGCTTATTCCACTGAGACATCTCCCTGGCCCCTATCTTTTTTCTTTATGACTTAAGAAGTCCTATGCGCTGTCTTTCAAGCATGGTGTTTTTCCATGTCCATATCTCTAGTCCTCTGACACCAAAATTTTAGCTCTAAACAGTGCTTTGAATAAATAAAAACATTTCATAGCTAGGTTAATTTATGAAATGTGCCACATATAGGAAAGTGGTTAAAATATTTATAAAAATTGAAAGATAATAAACCTCTACTAGTCAGGTTAAGAAACAGGATATTACCAATAGATTACAATACTTTTCCTAGTGTATTCTCCTTTTGTCACAGAGGTAATCACTCTCCTGGCCTTTATGATAATTTTGCCTTTACATAAAGAGAAATTGATTAAACTTGAAAAGTTGAAAGGCATACACAAGTCTTGGAATGTAGGAAAAGGGTCACTATAGTGCTCATGTTTGAGGGTCTCCAGGAGGAGCTCATCAGTGTCCTAGACATGATCAAGGTACTTTGAATTTTCCTGCAAGAAGAGGAGACCACTGGGAAAGGTCATGAGTTAATGGTAGGAGTCAGGGGTCATCAGAGGGTATCTGTCAGGGCAGACATTGGCTACCCAGCATGACTGTGACTAGGAGAACAGGAGCTCAGGATGGCCTACCGTCAGTCTCAGGACTGGGTCAAAGTGAAGTCTTTCTGTAGATTGAGATGGTGTTTTTCACTGGTACACATGGCAGGGCCTGTAGAAACAACTGGGAATTTCCTCAGCACATAATCAAGTTAAGTACAGGAAAAATTCATTTTATCCATAAGAGTCTGACATTAGCATTCATGTTAGGGTGACGGCACCTTCTCAGTGGACAGTTTTGTCAGCCCATAAACACTAGTGAGGCCTGGCTATGCTCTTTCTGGTTCTCTGCTGACATTTTGGGTTCTCATTTGTCATGTTTCCAGGGATCCTTTTGGGTTCTTCTGTGTTGGATCTACTGTTTTCTGTATCAGTGTCTTTTTTCTGAAAGCCACTATGGCAACAGAAGTCTGCTCCTTCCCTGGCACTTAACCTAGAACAGTGGTGGTAAAACTGCAGTACATGTGCTGCAGGGGGCTGTTGGTGCCATCACTGACTTAGAAGCTACAGCCTGTTTATAGACTTCATTACTAGTGGAACAGAGGTCATATTAGGCTTCTCATTCAATAAAATTGGGCAGAACGAATCCAAGGATGGCCCATAGTTATTACTAGCAATTGAAATGAGCGTGCAGTAGGCAATGATTAACAACCAGTGATAAGGTATAAGAAGTGGAAGATAGCAGATATTGTACATCGGCTCTATGGCAGTTAGAAGAGGTGCTGTTTGAGAGCTAAGATAGTTCAACTTTGTATATTCTGCCTTTCATGAGCCAGTGGGACTTTTGATGAAGATGTCTAGCATAAGCCAGGCATGGTTATTCACATGTATAATTCCAGCTACTGGGGAGGCCCAGCCTGGAACATAGGAAGTTCAAAATCAGCCTGCACAATTTAGTAAGACTCTTTCTTAAAATTAAAAACAAGTCTGGGCATGTAGCTCAGTGGTAGAACATTTGGCTACTTCCCTAGCATATATGAGGAGGTTCTATCAACAGTATTAGGGAGAAAAGTGTAATACATATCCTACATACACCATATTTTGGGTATGTAAGTAAATGTAGCTATTTTATTGAAGATATAAGGAAATTTTCAATATTCTTTTCATTATTAGGTCTTCATAGTGGAGGTGTAGGGGTAGAAGAAACGGTTGGATAAAAAATTATTATATCTGAAAGTTATACGTTGGATATTGATTATTTTCAGTTGAAAACATTTTTGGTATGCTGCTTTATTCTGACAATTATATACATACTCTACTCTGTAGGGTTAGTGGATCAGATCTTGATGTTGAAGAGCCAGTCAAAGTTGAGGAACCTGAACCCAAAAAGAAGCCTCCAAAAGAACAAAACATTGTTAAAGAAATGCTGTTTATATCTACTGATGAATTCAATGGAATTCCTTCGTGAGTATATAAGATAAATTTTAATGTCAAACTCTTTAGCAGTCAACGTAATAATGATTGTTTAAATTATAAGACTTGGTCATATGCTGTGTTCAAATATCCATCTTGTCTACAATACTTTTACATTGTACTGGGAAAATGAAGAGTATTTTTTTCTGTTTGAAATGCTTAAAATCATGATTTTTGTTTAGTTGTAAAAGCTCTGGAGTGTAGATAAATCAGATTGTTGCTTGTCGCTCTCTGGGACCTTTCTGTGATACAGAGTTACATCTCAGAAGTAACTTCGGTTTTGCTGTGGGTTTAAGTAAACTGAGTGTGACTTGTAGCTGAGAATTGAATGAAGAGTGTGTGTTTCCTTTTTATTTGTTTCTGGTACCACATGCTTGGTTGAGTCTGTGCTGTTATCTAAGCACTGTGACTCTAGGAGTTTCAAGTCTCAAGCCAGTCCAAAGTGAGCCTGAGCAGTTTGCCAGCTACTGTTTATTCCTGTGCTAGTTCCAGTGGTTTCTGCTCCTAGTACTATTAGTTTTCTCTTCCCTCTGGGCTCTTGGCCTGAGAATGAAGAAGAATGAAGTCCACAGACACAGCATCGGGGAATGAACCAGGCATAGTTTATCAGAAGAGAGCCTCTTTCACCAGCTGAGAGAGGCTCCAGAGAGGACACTGACAAGCTTCCCACATTCAAGGGTTTACATGCAGACTTTGGCGGGTGCTATGGCTTGTGTCTATTTGTCCCCCCCAAAGCCTCATGCAGTCATTGGGCAGACGTTAGAGTTTGTGATTAACTCATGATCCACTGGGATTATGGGTGTGAGTGCTGCTGGGATTATGGGTGTGAGTACTACACCCAGCCTAGGGTGGATAGTTTGAATGCAACATGAGGGAGACAGACTTGCTCTCTGTTGCCATCATTGCTGCCATTACTCTCATTTGCTCTTGCTCTTTGCTGCCACCACGAATGACTGCTTCCTGCCACATGACACTCTGCCTTGGAGCCAGCTGAATATAGACTGAAACCTCCAGACTGAGCTAAATAAACCTTTCCTTCCTTAATTATGAGCATCAGGTATTTTGTCCCAGCAATGAGTGAAAAGTAAACAGTGGGCTATTTAGGTGGGTACATGAGAGTGAAATGATGTAGTTGCTGTTTTCACTTAGGCCTCTGGTCAGAACAAAACTTCCCTTGTACCCCAGCTTCCTATAGCATATCTCAATTTACCCAGATTTTTGCCCTTGGAAACACTGTGGGTGCAATTTTTAGCTAGGCTTCTGATGTCAGGAGAACGGGTTTACCTTGTGCCTCAACTTCCCTGGGCAGACTTCAGTGAGCCACTTTCTCTTCTGTTCAGATTTTCCTAGAGCTTAGCTCAGTTTATTGAGGTCCTTGTCTTAATTGCTTGTTGTTTCTCAGTCTCCTGTTTTCATTAGAAAGCTGTGATTTTTGGTATTTTCTTGTTTCTCCACTTTTGGGGGAGTACTTTGGTCTGTAACCTCAGGTCTGTAACAGCTTTTGGAAGAACTATTGTACTGGTTTTCATTTTGTTCTTGTGAGGGATGGAATGATGGCTTTTTGTCTCTTTACATGTCAGAGCTCTACACCCTAGTTTTTATTTCTGTCAGTGGTACGTAAGAATACCCTTCTCCTCTTACCTTTGCCAGCATTACCTGCGGCTTTAGAAATTGTTTCCAGTTGGTCACTTGAAAGCTATCTGGCTATTTTATAATCCTGACTAATGATTGACATTTCTCTTTAATTTTTTTTTGGGGGGGTGTCATTTCCTGTATTGATAGCTTTATTTCCATGAAAATGCTTTGACACTTTGATGCTGTTCAGATTTGCTTATTGCAGTTGCTGGTTATCAGCTGAGTTAAAGGGAAGCTCAAAGGACTACAAGGAACAGTGAAGTAAAAGCAAGTGTAGACAATGCTTTTGTGAAGAATTGAAGGACATTGGAATAGCTATGGTAGAATATTCAATTTTTAAAGTAAGGAGTTATATAATAAATGAGATTAGGATAAACTTCTGTTTACTTATTTAAATACTGAAGATGGAATTAAAGTGGGAAATGTTGGCAGGGATAGAGGATGAACATTGAGAAATAAAGGGCATACTTGGGAAGACTGGGGAATTCAAAGCTCAGACTCTGTGTAGAACTGATTCAGTGCATCAGTTGCATTGAAAGGAATGGTCTCAAGAGTTTGAAAATAGTAGTTAGAAAAAGCAGATAGGCAAAACTGAATTTTGAAAAGAAAAATAATAAAAATGAGTACTTTTGGAAAGATGAACATTCTCCTTTAAATTCCTTTGTTGCTTTATGTTAAACAACTTTTTTTCTTTGGCAGAACCAGGGATTGAACTCAGGCCCTTGTGCTTACCAGGCAAGCGCTTATTCCACTGAGCCATCTCCCCGGCCCCCATTAAAGAACTTTTGATTCCAAACTGCCACTTCAAACAGAAACTCTTTGACAAAAGTTGAAGATAATGAACTCACAATTTATACTGAGGCAGATCATTGAGTTTGGTCTTGGTGTGTTCAAACCCCTCCAAACTCAGAATCTCCCATTGTTATTCTAAGACTAGACCTGTGGTGATAATAAGGACAGACAAGAATGAGATCCAGGCTGACAGGTGAAACTCAGAGTTGAAGAGAAGATGTTTGAAAGAATTTGAACTAGCCAATAAAAAAGAGCTCCTTACCCACTGGTTGTGCTTACATTTAAAGCTTCTAATGCTTTATATCTCTTGCCTCATTGTCCTGAACCAGCGGGTCAGTCAATGAAGGTCACATGGGAGAGGAGCGGGGAATTGAGGAGGGGACAAAGGACAGGAGACGCGAGAAATGGAGACAAGACAGGATTCTGATCGAGTCTCGTTTATTCAGGGGAGGTGCTGGGTATATATAGTGGAGGCATAGGGAAATGACCTCAGTGGGTAAAAAACGTGCGAGTAACTAGGCAACCGGGCTATGACAGGAAGTCCCACCTCCGGGGCATAGCAGGAGACTTAAGGGAAATAGGTGGGGTAAGAAGAATTAGGAGCTTAGCTCAGCAGAGGTAGGGGAAGAGGAACCCGGAAACCCACTTACAATAGGATTGGAGGCCTGGAGTTATTGAGCCTCCCACAGGTCCCTCTTTACTTTTATATATGTATATAAAATACGGCTTTTTAGACGGTTGATTCCCTTGAGGGGGTAGTGCCTGTCTTAGGTCGAGGCATCCTCTACATGGACCCGACTCAAACCTTACCTGTCATAGGAGACCAGGACGGCAAAAGGTCCCGTTCCTGTCTTAGGCGGTGAGTGGTGTCTCGTGTATGCCCCTCATTACCCATCTCTGGCTAGCTTGACCATCTCACCAAAGGTAGGAGAACTAAGAGGTCTCCGGACCTTCATCATCATAAGCTGGTTGTATTCCAGCGTAGTTTTCCCTTTCAGTCATCTTAAGCCTGTGGTAATGGACCTGAATAGGCTTCATCAAGGCCGCATCCAATTGTTGTTTAACGAAAGTCATCAGCCTATTGAAAAGACAGGGTCCTATTGATAAAAGTATTAATAGTCCAATCAAGGGTCCCAATAGGGGGAGAAGGTAGAGTAGTACTCCATTTCATGCGCTCCAGAAAGGTTTTCAAATAGCTCTCTTTTCCTCTAAAGATCTTCTTTAAGTCTCTTTATTTTATCTTGAACAGTAGTGGACTTGTTTGGGTAGAAGCAGCAGCGTTCCTGTAAAGCCAAGCAGATCCCTCCCTGCTCTGCTGTTAGAAGGTCCAAGCCCCTCCTATTTTGCAAGACTACTTCTGCTAATGAATCTATCTGGTCTTGGATATCTTGGATAGTGCCACACAGTGTTTGAACATCAATCAGCTGATTAGATAATTTGGTATAAGAATGTATGGCTACTCCCAACCCTGCTGTGCCTGTCCCCATGGCCGCCATGACTCCTAGCCCCACTAATAAAGGGATAAACTGGACTGCCCTCTTTGTGCGGCCCATAGCATAATCTAAACTGGGAAGGGGTAGGGGATCATTACCAGAGATGACATCAATATCAGGCAATACAATTGCCATGACACAGAGTCCTGTCCAGTTGTTAGGTAAATATGTGAAGGCTAAACTTCCCCCACATACAAATACGTGTCCCTTTTTTGGGCAAATAGGGCTACTGTAGTTAAGTATGTGATTGCAGCTGGTGAAGGTAACAAATCCAATATCAACAGTGAAGCTATCATTGTGGTTGCCTCCCTGCATGCAGGAAGACTTCCATAGGAGATAATTCCTACCCCCCCCCCACTCCCCCAGAGGGTGGCTCTGGCTAATGCCTGCCAGTCCTCGGGAGTAAGCCAATTGTCGGCCACAGTTTCTAAAATGGCTGTGGTGTATGGAGCCATGGCTCTGTATTGGGCAACCACCGCTTTTAGTTCCTTTAGTACTTTAAAATCGAAACTAGTGTAATGGTGCCAAATCTGTCCTTGAGTGCCTGTTGTTTCTGATACTGGAAATACTTCTGCCTTATCTAGATCTATGGGTGGGTCTAACAAGAGGAAGCTTTGGGGGATAGCGCCCCTCACGGGTGGCCTTTGAACACAGGGGTCCTTTGGTCCAGTTATACTTTCATTTTTGGGTTTTCCTGATTTTAATCTTTCTAATTGGATTATGAGGTCTTGGTGCTCGTTCTCTAATTTTATCTATTCTTTGAGAAGTTCAATTTTGCCTTTTAATTCCTTTCTGGGGTCAGAAGCCGAGCACGCCGAAGGAGGCGTGCTGGGATCAGTGCTATATGGCCTAGGGCGCTGAACCTCGGGCAGCCCATCTCGGTCCTGATACCGAGTGGCTTCCTCCGCCATTTCGTCCCAATCAACTTCATTATAATTGGCTTCAACTTGAAGAGGTTTTGATAGTTTGGGATATATTTTTTTAACTTTGAGCGTAGCTCCTTCTAAATCAAAGGGGTTAATTTTCTCCTCGGGCTATAATTTGGAATTTGGTGGTTCTGGCTTCCTGGTTTCGATTTCAAGATTCTGTTCCTTTACAGGAGGGCACACACCCTTAGGGGGTTCTTTGTCCTTTAAGATGAGTTTTACCTTTTTGTCCCTGTAGTATATTTTCACTCTTTTTTTTTTTTTTTTTTATCACATTAGCAACAACCGGGTCACAGTGTCTCTGGGATAAGATTTCATCAATTAGATTCCAGTAGGAAAAGGCCGTAACTGGGACCTTTTCAGGTCCAAAAGTCTCATAATAATCCTTAAGGGCATCACCAACCCTTTTCTATTGCCTCTGATCAATAGTTCCTTCAATAGGGAACCATGGGCAAACTTGTTTAATATATTCAAAATATTGACACAAATCCTTAATTTTAACCTTTACTCCTTGCGCCTTTAGTGCTTTGCTCAAACTTTCTACAAATATCTCATGTTCACTTAATGCCTGTCCCATTGCCGAAGAGAAGGGGGAAGGGGTTCCGTCTGCTTACTGAGGTTCAAACGTCGCAGCAGGCAACTGTGGCGCGGGCTTCTTTTACTTTCTCTCTTGCCGGCTCTCTCCGACGGTTCCGTCTCTGTATCCTCCGTACCAGATGCCCACACGTTGGGCACCACTTGTCCCGAACCAGCAGGTCAGTCAATGAAGGTCACCTGGGAGAGGAGCGGGGAATTGAGGAGGGGACAAGGACAGGAGACGCGAGAAATGGAGACAAGACAGGATTCTGATCAAGTCTCGTTTATTCAGGGGAGGTGCTGGGTATATATAGTGGAGGCATAGGGAAATGACCTAGGCGGGTAAAAGGCGCGAGTAACTAGGCAACCGGGCTATGACAGGAAGTCCCACCTCCGGGACATAGCAGGAGACTTATGGGAAATAGGCGGGGTAAGAAGAATTAGGAGCTTAGCTCAGTAGAGATAGGGGAAGAGGAACCGGGAAACCCACTTGCAATAGGATTGGAGGCCTGGAGTTATTGAGCCTCCCACACCTTGTGAGTCCTGGGTCTCAATTGTCATCTTCTTTCTTCTGGTTTTGTCTACTTTTCCTTCTTCTTTTTTTTTTAAACCTTCTTTACACACATAAAGAGTTTTTCAGTTGTATACTTGCTCAACATTTAAAATTTTCTTTCCTTTGAACACCTTAAAAATGTTTGATACAGTTACATTTTGCAGTTATTCAGTCTGTTTGAATTAGAATTTGAGACCTTATTCTAAGTTGTAGTGTTAATACTGTGTAGGTGTAAAGTAGAGATTAACGCATTCAGATATAATTACAGAAGGTATGCATTAGTATGTTGTTATTTCAATTTTTAGATAGTAAGATGTGTCTGGACTACTCAGCAGTTGATATAATTTTTTTTTTAAAGGGTACTTTTTTTTTGTATTTTAGGAAAGGGTCTACAGGGTATTCTGGGTCTCACTACTAGATTGGACTTGTAGTGATCCACCTGTTTACAGCCTCCCAACTGCTGGGATTACAGGCATGTGCCACTACACCCAGTCTCATTCGCCAATTCAGCATGCCCTGGGGGCGGGGCTGGCACGGGGCAGGCCTGGTTATCGAACCCCTGGCCCCTGCACCTGCTCGTAGGCGCTTTAATCCACTAAGCTATTTGGCCGGTCCTTTATAAAGAATGCTTTGATATGGTACCAAGGTACAGTATTTATGTTTTTCAAAGAAAGTAATTTGTATAATGATTTAAAAACAACTATATACTTTTTTACAGGTACATGAAATCCCGCTTAACCTATTCTCAAATTAATGATGTTATTAAAGAAATCAATAAAGCAGTAGTTAGCAAATACAGGATTGTTCATCAATCGAAGAAGTCTATGAACTCTATAACTAGAAATCTCTATCAAAGATTTATTAATGAAGAAACAAAGGATACTAAAGGTAAAATGATACTGTATATTTGCGTGTGTGTCACTTGTTTGGAGAATAATTAATCATGAGAAACCAAGCTTATGCTAGAAAATTCTAATGGAAGAATTTACTCTTCAACTATGAGTGATTTTCCAACTGGGGCAATTTGTCATGCTGAACATATTTTCGTGGTTATACCTGGGATGGGGACAGAGACACTACCTTACAATGCACAGAATAGCCCTGAGAATGTCTGCAGTGCTGAAGCTGAGAAACGCTGCTCCAGAGTCTATTATGAAACTCTACCCAATATTTTGAGAAGTAGAGTAGTAGTGCTAACAGTTGATCATGCTTTTGTAGCACATACTGGTACCAGTTAATGTGCTACAAGCCTTAGTCTTTATAATGTCCTTATCTCCCCTCTCAGTCCCTTTTCAGGGAAGGTTTTGCCATTTAGTTCAGGCTCGCAGTGAGCTCACTATATCTCCCCCACTGGGCTTTGATTCATGACTCTCTTGCCTCAGTCTCCTGATGGCTGCAATTACAGGCAGGGGCCACTGTGCCCAGCTTTCCTTATTCCATTTTGTAGTTTAGGCAGAGTGCCTACTTTATACAAGTCATCCAGTGACAGCCGCTATGAGTTCATTTCTGTTAACCTCTACTGCATAATACCTATGGAAAAATGAGTGGTTCAGGAGACACCAAGAGGTAGCTAGGGAGCTAAAGAGCTGGGCTGCCATGCTAAAATGCTACATGCTGTAATATGCAACTTCAGTTGATAGAATAATTATTGTTTTAGTAGGAACACAATTTCTTACTTTAATCGGATAGTGACAACAGTGATTAATGTCATTCGTATTCACAATTTAGTACCTTAAACACTTACCTTAAAAGTTGGTCTTAAAAAAGTTAGCTTTCGTATCTTTATTTTCAGGTCATTATTTTATAGTGGAAGCTGACATAAAGGAGTTCACAACTCTGAAGGCTGACAAGAGGTTTCATGTGATCCTGAATATTTTGCGACACTGCCGGAGGCTGTCAGAGGTCCGAGGGGGTGGACTTACCCGTTATGTCATAACCTGAGGCCTTGGCTTAACTGACAGGTAGTAAGGCATAGATGCTAGTCCTGTAATTATCTTACATATAATCTCTGGCTTTGAAGTGTTTATTCCTGTTTTTCACAAAAATAAAACCTTTTGAATAATGTATACTTTAAAATTTTACTTCCTTTTGGCAGTGGGGCTTTGCTGGATAGCTCAGTTGTTTAAAGTGCTGCTTGGGTAAATGCAGGCAGGCACATGGGACCGCGGTTCGATTCCCAGCTCCAGATGCTGTACCAGCTCTGCCTTTAAGGCAGTCTGAAGTAGAAACAATAACAAAAAAACCCTCCTTTTGGCAAATATTTATCTATGTGCCACATAAGGCTCTGTAGTTGACATGTAATGGAATTAAAAACTCATGTCTAGTTTTGTGTTTAGTGTACAGTGCTGCAGACCCCAATAAGATGGACACAGATATGGTATTAGAAGTAAGAGGCCAAGAAAATAAAGTCAAGGACACAAAGGCTCTTTGGAATGAAAGGTCATTAGTGTTGACATTCCATTCAGGACATTTTGGTTTACAGGTGGACTTGAAGTGGCCCTGGGGTGGTCTGTCCACCTGGTTACTGTGCTTTCTCACATGTCCTGCGGGAGCAGCTTGCCACTCACCGTCAGTTAAGCCAGTCTGTAGACTTCAACCTGTAATGAAAGTATATTGAGATGCTGTGATATTGTGGATTAATAAGAAATATGAGTTAGATCTTCATCTCCAGTTCCTTGTTCACAGCTCCTCAAAGCTTTGTAATATCCTGCTTTATTAGGGGTACTTCTTTTGTTCTGCTGGTCTTTGATCCTAATTTCTGACATGATGTAGAGCTCTTCAATCTCTTCAAATTGCCTCTTGGTAGGAATAATTTTGTTTGCATGAGATGATTCTTGGTGGGCTCCTATCTTGTTTTAGGATGGAGTTTGCAAGCCATGCCTAGAAACTTCTAATTGTTATTAACCACCACCACTACTACCAGCACCCCACCCCACCCCACCCCCGGGGACAGGGGCTGAAATTCAGTTAATAATCATCTGATGTGATGAAGCCATAAAATTTCCTATGCTGTGGAATTCAAAAAGCTTCCAGGCTGTGGACACATGGATGTGCTGGGAGGATGGTGTCCCTGACCTTTATGAGGACAGAAGCTCCTGTGCTCAGGACCCTGCTGGGCCTCAGTCTATGTGCATCTTCACTGGCTGCTTATCTGTGTCCTTCCTATTACCCTTTATAATAAACTGGTAACCATAAGAAAGGTGTTTCTCTGAGTTCTATGAGTCATTCTAGCAAATTATCACACTCAGAGATAGTGTTGTGGGGACCCTGACTTGTAGCTAAGTGGGACAGGAGTGTAGAAACCTGGGGAACCACTCACTCATCACAATTGGAGCCTTGTGGGACTGAGCCCCAAACCCATGATATCAGAATTAAAGTGTAGCACACTCAGATCATATCCAGGGTAGAGAATTGGTTAGTATGGGAAACACATAGACAAACACATACTTGGAGTCAGATTTACTACATGAATGATGTAATATAGAAAAAACAGGGATTTTCCCTGGTAACATGAACAGATGACAAATAATGTGACAGCGGGTTGATAGGATTTAATGAAAAAATGAGTAATTGGCCTGTAAGAATTGAACTGTGCTCTGTACACAGGGAGACTGTCTTTTATTCAGGGCTATGCCATATGCGTGGCGAGTACATCCCTGTCCTAGAGAAAAACAGTCATGCCAGCCCCCTGATGTAGCTAAAAGCATCACTGTGATAACCACAGAGTGCACTGTGGGCCCTGCATTATTCTTCTTAATTTATATGCAGGAAAATTTACTTTTTATGCCCTGATTTAAAATAGAAATAATGGCATTGTCTTTTGTTTTTACATCTTGCTTGTGATTTTTTTTTCTCTGAATCATTTTTCCTTCTGAAAAATATTTTCCTTGTTTAAAATATGAGTGGTACCATCATTAATCTCTATTTTGGTAGTGTAAAATCAATTTATTACGTTAATTTGGCTGTGTAGTTGATCAAATATTCCTCAAAGAATAACTAGAGCGTTAATTTTAAAATGAACTCTGTTGCTTGAATTTTATTTTCAAGCAAAATGAAAGACTTGTATTTAATTTCTAAATAACATTTTAGATGTAATTTTGAGAGAAGTTTGGAGTCCTGGCCTCTCCCTTCAGTTCTATTCTTTGCCTTTTCTGCTTTTCCCCTGTTCACATGAATATAGCCTGGCAGCTGATTCCATCTGGGCCCTGCAGAGCTTGTGGCCTGGTTTGCCACCTTCTGTTCTCGCTAGCCTGAGGCCCTGGGCAGAAATTGGCAGTGGGCACCTGGAACTTCCTACAGGCTGCTATGTATGAGGGACATTGAAAAGGTGCCAACAGCAAGTCGGAATGTTGCTGGACCCACGTTAGCTGCTTGCCACACAACAGGCCAGTTAAGTGAGGAGACAAAGAATTGAGCATGGACAATAACTATTCAAAAAGTTGGCTGGTAGAGGTGATGGAGAACTGTTGTTCCAAATCCATCTTGCCAGGGATCTGATTTAGAAGCAGTTCGTGTTGGTGGGCGGTCAGCATTTATAGACTGCTGCATACCTTCTCACAGTGGCTATGGCAATTTGTAAATTGATGTGTGAAATTTGGTGCATATTTCTTCTTGATGGCTTAGTTTCATGACATTTTCCAGGCCTGCAACTCTCAAGAACTGTGATAATTTGTCTTTACTGGTTGGTTTACCTACATGCAGTTGCTGATGTCACATAATGGGCCAGGATAGAGAGGGTGGCCGTCCAGAAAAGAAATGCAAATGTCTAGCGAAGGTAAATATGGGTCTCTGATGCTCAGTTTCGGGACTTCACTAAATATGAACAAGGTCCCACCTGAGGACCACATTCTAGTTGCCTAAGCACTCCAACATGGCTACCTATCCAAAGCGCTAGTTTTATAGATTAAAAAACAAGGTGTGTCATTACAATTACATTGGCTGACAAAAGTAGTACAAATGGTTCCTTGCTCATATGTATTACATATTCCAGAAAAGAACTGTTGTAGACTGGAAAAGGCTTTAAGCATGGGTTATGTATTATCTTTATACTATCAGGGAGCTTGTGACCACTCATGTCAGAATGACCTAGGTGACTTGTGCCTGTGTTTCTTCTGGCTAAAGAATTTTGTGGCCTCCTTTTTATGACACTTGAAGTCCTTTCTTGTGATAAAATCTTCCATTATAGGTTCATGTTTTCTTGGAAAGTTGGTTATTTATGCAGAGAACTTTTTTTTTTCTTCTAGAAAACATGGGCTGGTTAAAAATAATCATGGGAGATTACCACCTTGGTCTCCCCTTACCCCTTCTAGGTCCATTTTGTCCCCTTGTACCTCTTGGAGTGGCTGTCCCTTGGCATGCTCTGTTCCCTTGTACCCCTCTGTGGTTCTCTCCTAGCTCTCCTAGGTGTGCTCTGTCCCTCATTCCTCGCCAAGGTACATTCCGTCCTCTGATCCTCTCCTGGGCATATTTTGTTCTCATCTGTTTCTTGGGCCCATTCTCTCAAAGCTATATTCTGTCCCCTTTCACTCTCCCAGACTGTGTGTCCCCTCACATTGTTTTGACTTCATCTTGTCCCAGTCTTTGGGCTGCTTTTTTGTCTCTCCCAGGTGTCAGGCTCTGGCCTGGATGGCACCTGCTTAGGTGCAACCTCTGCAGCTCCAGCTTCCAGCCCAACCCACCTGGATCCCTGGAGGTTCTGGCTCCCCCTACTCAAGGAATGAAGCACCTGACAACAGGGTGTGGGCTTTGGCTTCCCAGGAAGCTGCTGAAGGGGCCAGGTGATAACTCAGCTGTGTAAGAGTTTGCTTGTCAAACGTACATTTCTTGGTGAGAATTAGGAAATGGAGCTGGCAGATAAAGTCCTTGCTCTTCTTTCCTGAGGGGCTGTTCCAGGGTAGTTTTCTAATCTCTGTCCAGGTACATCCTATGTGGCTGAATAATTCCCTGTGTTGCTTTCATGGTTCGTGGAGCTGTGATTAACTGAGGTGTGTTATGTTTCCCAGTCTTACTTCTTTCTTCACTCTTCTGGGCATGTAACTCCCAAGAAAGCATTTGCCTTGCCTCTGGGGAACTTGTGCTATGATAAAGTGTGTAGATCTTTAGCTCAGCATTTCCTAAATTGTGCATCTTGAATAGTAGGTTCTCTCAGTATAGTAGACAGTTTTATGTTTGCACCACTTCTCAGGTTCTTGAAACAGAATCTTGTTATGGAGTTCAGGCTGACCTTGAACTCATTTTGTAGCCCAGGCTCGCCTTGAACTCACAGCAGTCCTTCTACTTCAGCCTCCCAAATGCTGAGATTATAGACATGTGCTACCATATCTGGCTTGGGTCCTTTATTATGTCTTTTTATATTACAGATCTCCAAAAGAGACAGGGTATTTGTTATTTTTGTTACTTATTTAATTATTTTTAAGGAATATATATCAGTATCTCTTATAGACAAATGCTCCATTAAATACATTTTGGGGACCTTGATATAAGTCAACCCATTTTAAAACCATGTTTATTTTTATAAATGAAGTTCAGTACCACAGTCTGCAATTGGAAAATATATGTATGTAAAAACTTTGAAGTAGTATCATGGATTTTGGAGGGAGAAGGGTAACCAGAGTTCGGATCCTGGATCTATGACTGGTTAGCAGCGTAAATTCAGTTAGCTGACTTGTGGCTAACTGGCTGACACAAAGAGCTCAGGTCATTACAGTTTCCTTCCTTTAGGTATTCAACCTAACCGTTACTCTAATGACAAAAGTTTTCTTAGTGTAGTGACTATAAGCTGTGTCTCATTTTTTTACTAAAAATTGCAGCTCTAGGTCTCAAGAGTATAGCTCAGTAGTACTTGCCTAGCATATAGGAAGACCTGGACTCACTTCCCCAGCACTACAAAAAGTGCAATAATCTAATCCTTTACTGTGACTGAGAAGTTGAATTATTTCTTGGGAATATTCTCTTCAGCAACTAGTGGTGTGTCAAAAAGGAACCAGCTGTGGTGGCACATACCTATAATCCCAGCACTGAGGAG